GGCTTTGAAACGACAGCTGGCTCTCATTCAGGAACGCATCGATGCCAAGAAGATCGCCCAACTGGCTGTGGCTGAAGTCAGACAGCTGCTGGCCAAAGACAAGAAGAAGGAGCCGGAGCTGGAGATACCAGATGGATTAATGGAGAGAGTCGCCACCAGACTGAGAGAGGAGGAGAAGTCTGTGGAGAAACTCAAACAGGAAAAGACTAAAAACCATGGGAAAAAAGAAAAAAGGACTGAAGATGGGAGCAGGGCAGAGGAGAGATGACTGGAGAGACTGGAAACAGTGGAGGAGAAGAGGGCCAGCAGAGGAAGAATGAGCGTGGCCAAGAAAACTGAGAAAATCTGACATAAGAAGCAGCAAATAAAAGATTTTCACCTTCAGGCTCATGTTGAGTCCTCTCACTGACCTGTCCACCTGTTATTATAACCTGGCTAAATGCCCTGATATATGTATTACTATTATTATATAGCTCCATTATTAACAGAGTTGTAAAGTTACTAAGTACAAATACTTTGTTACTGTACTTAAGTAGAACTTTTGGTTATCTGTACTTCACTTGAGTAATTATTTTTCAGTGTACTTTTTACTTTTACTCATTACATTTTTACACAATTATCTGTACTTTCTACTCACTACATTTGTTAAAAAGGTAAGAAGTAGAAAGTTGTTACTCCTGTTTTATTCTGAGTTGTTACTTATAAAAATCCTCTCCTGATAAACAGTGTCTCCTATAGAGTGAATTTAATTGTGTTTGGATGAGAAGTATAAATATATACCATTCTGACACACTATTAGCTTGTACACAACCCATCACAGCTGCACGCTGTTAGAAAATATAGTTTTTGGAGAAGTCACCTCCCAATAAATGTCATTTTKWAAATCYAACTGCTCACTTTTACTCAGTACTTTTACTTTTAATACTTAAGTAGATTTTGTGTCAGAAATTTACTTTTGATACTTAAGTACAAAAAATATCAGATACTTTAAGACTTCTACTCAAGTAATATTTTTAGAGGAGACTTTAACTTTTACCAAAGTATTTTTATGTTAAGATGCTTGTACTTTTACTCAAGTATCGCTTTGAGGTACTTTATACAGCAGTGATTATTAAGGATGCAACAGTACATGTTTCCTATCACATCATCATGATATGGACATGTTGCACTGTCAGACTGAAGAGTTTTATTAACATCAGGTGCATCAGTGTCAAGGGACCGAGCTTCCTTCAGTCCTTCACAATAAAAGCATCAAACATATTGTTGATTTCTTAATACTCTCAAATCATCTGGAGCTTATAAAAATACACATTAATACTGTTTTCTGGTTCAGTTAACTCTGCAGTCTAACCCACCAGAAGGGTTCTACAAGTTGTTTACAGCAGAATATGTAAATTATTGTGTACATGAATGTATTTAAAAATGTGGTTTTAAGAAGTTCTGTTTGAAAGAATAAAGCCACAAGTTTATTAACACAAAGTACTGTGTTATACAGTATGACTGTTGTACTTTTGTACCAATGATGGTTGGATTTGCGTTCTCTATTCTTTGAATTACAACTTTGTAATTTCATCTTTATTTTTGMAATACTAATACTTGTTTCTTCCTCATTTTTTGCATGACCCCAGTATACCGTCATAGAATACCAGTGTTATGATGTTATCTGACTTTCTCCTCAGATGCTTAAGATTTCATTCCTCAAATGTTCATATCAGGCCAAAATGGTGAAATAGTTCTTGTCACACAGGAAGATGAGTGTGGGACTGGGAAAACATTTAGCTTGTTGCTGCTGCTCTACAGGAACAGTTTTTTCCCAGTATAAGGTGATCTTAGTTTATGACGTGTGAAAGGCTTTTATTATAACATGTCTGTTAGTTTGTGTGTTGAAGCTAATCATAAATATTAGTATAAATTTGGTTTATGCTATTTTCGAGGAAATAAAACTGACACAAATGAAGAGAATAGTAGAGAGTTGTGGTTTCTTGTCTCTTTTATTTCCTTAGTGTCACAGTAAGGTGGTACTGACACACCTCAGTGTTTCTTCATCTTCTGCTGCTGATCCATTGTTGGGTCTCAGAGGCAACAGGTCCAGGACAGAAACCCAGACCTCCCTCTCCCCAGAGACACTTCACAGCTGGTCCTGGTGGACCCTGAGGTGTTCCCAGGCCAGAGAGGATACATAATCCCTCCAGAGAGTCCTGGGTCTTCCCCGGGGTCTCCTACCAGTGAGATGTTCCTGGAACACCTCTAAAGGGAGGCGTCCAGGAAGCATCCTAACCAGATGAACCACCTCAACTGGTTCCTTTCGATGTGGAGGAGCAGCAGCTCTACTCTGAGCTCCCCCCAGATGATGGAGCTCCTCCCCCTATCTCTAAGGCTGAGCCCGGCCCATCCTACGAAGGAAGGTCAATTCAGTTGCTTGTATCCAGGATCTTGTTCTTTCATTCATGATCCACACCTCATGACCACAGGWGAGGGTTGGAACGAAGACAGACCAGTAAACCCAGATCTTTGCCTTTCGACTCAGCTCTTTCTTCACCACAACTGACCGAAGCAACWCCCTCATTACTGAGGATGAGACCCCAACCCATCTTCCACTATATCCTACCATCACTCRTGAACAAGACACCCAGATACTTAAACTCCTCCACTTGAGGCAGAGACTCTCTCCTGACCCAGGGGGGATATTTCACCCTTTTCTGGTCAAGAACCATGGTCTCAGACTTASAGGAACTGACCTTCATCCCAGCTGTGAACTGTCCCAGTGCACGCTGAAGGTCTTGGTCCGAAGACTCCAACAGAACCACATCATCTGCATACAGCAGAGACAACACCCTGTGGTTYCCAACCCAGACCCCTCCTCTCCACTGCACCTCAGTGTTTGTAATCTTAAAAGTCAGAGATCACTTTCAGTGAACCTTTGGTTTCCAGGCCTTGTTGTTGAAGCTGTGTTTGGTGATAAATTAGGAAAAATGTCTTGTAAGATTGTTGGATTGCTATCTTTGCACTTTTTTTGGACTGCATTTCATTTTGTTGTACTTATTTGTGTGATGRCAATAAAGATCCTGATTCTATTGCTACTAAACTTTCTGGCCCCGAGAGCTTTTTATTCTTTTAATATCAAATTWAACAGAAGTGTGAGAGTTCATTGGGTTGGGTGGAGTACAGGGCTGGATAAGAATTACACAAATTACAAGTTTTCTTCACACAGTTTTACTCTGTTTTTCTGTAATTTAAATTTGCTTGTCACATGTCTGTAAAACACATTAAGTCAAGGCCCTGGGGCCAGATGTGGCCCTGGTTAATGTTTTATCTGGCTCCCAAAAGTAAGACTTTAAATTAGGGCTGTCAAATGATTAAAAATTTTAATCTATTCCAAGGTAGCTGTGAATTAATCACAATTAATCTCAAACTTAATCTAAAACTTTAAATTTTAGATCTTATTTATTTTTAAATAAATAAAATAAAATAAGCCATAAGAAGACAAAAAGAAGAAAAACTACACAATGTTACACATGGAGGTTTTTTAATATATTATTTATTTAACCTTTATTTATCAGGTAAACAGTTTGAGAACCACTTCTCATTTACAAACATGACCTGACATGATGCACTGAGTACACTGTAATACACAAACCTACATAGTCAGAGTAAAGTGATTAAGTAAATTTTAATCGTGATTAAAATGTTTAATCTATCATTTCTCCTTTTGTCTGTGTATTTAGTTCTGTCTTCTCATGGCAGAAGTCAGTTTTAATTATCTYTTCTGTATTCCTCTTCTTACTTTAAAGTTTATTGAATTTTTGCTGAGGGTCTTTTTAACTGGTTTGCTGGATTGTGATCAAATTCATCTATTAAGTAAAATAAATTTGTTAATAAGGCATAAGAAAGAGATGCTAATCTGTCTTTCTACATGTATGTACTTTCTGATTCGTTAGGTTATGTCTGTTCTAAACACTACATATGTGTATCTATAAAACATTTTGACACACAATTATAAACCTGTTTTTATTTTGACAGTAATCAAGGGTTTATTATTGACACCACTGGTGTAGTACCAGTTTGACTGGAAGCATCTGAAGTTTGTAAAACTTGTATTTTGTATTGACCGTATTAAAGATGTTCATCCTGAAGAAAGGAGGGATATATTCAAACATCCTTTTATCTAAACACATCACCTGATGCCATGTTTAATAACATGATTATTATGATGCTGAAATAGTGAAATGAACATCTGTCAGCAAAATAAACCCAAATCCTTTAAATTCTGTTCTCTGTTCTGAAGGAAGTGACTCCCAGCTGAAGGACAAACTTCTACAGGAGCTTTGGTTGTGCAGATAAATGTAAACTGATCACAAGACTCTGCTGCAGACACAGATGCTGCTTCTGTGCACAAACTGGACCATTGCTTTAGTCCTTTGGTTTTGAACTACCAACCCATTTRAAGTGTTTTATGACACACAACTTCACACAAACTTGTGCAACATAAAGGCCATTGTGCACACTCTGCTTCCTGTATGTCCTGATGCCTCTCAGTAATCCAGGTAGAAAAAATCAAAAAGTAAAAATAAGTAGGTCCTCTGGAATCAGGGTCCCWACGATAACCAACACAAGGAGGGAAAAAACACAAACAGGGGGACTTTGAGCCCCGCCTGCATTCACTACATTCACATGACACGACACCTAAGAACCACAGCATCCAAACCAATAAGTCAGGTGATGGGTCACATGACCCTCTATGAACAATAGAGCTAATCAAGTCTATTGTTAGGTGATGGCCCTCTTCTGCAAATGACTAACCTGTTTGTCCATGTGGAGGCGGAGCTTATAAGGCTGAGTTCACCTGAAACTCATCAGACTGAAGAAGTCTCTTGGAGGAGAGACGAAACGTTTCACTAAAGAAGAACCATCCAGAGGAMCTACTGATTTTTATTTTTGATCTCCTTCCTGTACCACACACATTCCTCACTGCCATGTCAACGTGTCGTCATGTGATGTAGGACTGAAAGAGAAGGCTGTGGTCGTCACTGAACGGAGCCAAGAGGCTGCTGCTCCTGTGGCTGCTGCTCCTGTGGCTGCTGTGGAACCAGAACCAACACCAGCAGGTACCCAGTCAACACGTGTGGTTTCAGGCTGCTGCGCCCCTCACATGTCAGAGCAGAACATGTTATTGGTCTAATATAAAAACTGAAAGCAGAGCTTTAAGAGAAGGTAACAGAAGGACTGTATTACTTCATGTCTGATAAATATGGGTTAAAATGTGTTTATAACAGGTTTCAGTCTGAACACTAAAAGTGACGGAGGAGTCACTGGATCAAATGATTCTGACAAAATAATACTTTTATTTTCAAAAAAAGACAAAAACACGGTAAAATAAATGTTGACTTTAACGCTCAGAAGGTCTTGTGGGGAAAAGTCCTAATGTCAGGATGTCATAATGTATAAAAACATTTATAGTTAAAAATAAAGTTATAAAAATAAGAATGAATTTCCAATATTGAGATTATTTTTAAAAGTCAGTTACATTTGTCACATTTAGAATAAAGTTGTGGTGATTTGAATGTCAGTATGAAACTCAAGTCATCATTTACCATTAAGATTGTAATGTAAAGATTTTTATTAAAATGTTGAGATTCAAAAGAAGTAACTAAGAAATAATGTTGATAAAGTAAATAAAGTCAATTCTTAAGAGTGTAAAACATTAACATGTAACATGTGAAACTCCTAAAAACAGCTGWTATTATTTCTCTGCAGAAATGATTGACATGTTTCTGTCTCCAGCTGCAGGCATGAAGTTACTGTTTGTTTTAAAACCATTTCCTTTGTGTTTAAACCTTTTTAAACCAYAGAGTCACTGTAAAACACACAACTAGTGTAGGTCTTTGCATTAATGCTGCTTTGCTTTATAACACCATCATTTCTGAGCTTCTTTACTTCATWTTTAACATTTTGTGTTTTGTCCTGAAACTCAGTGAAATAAACTGAAGCACTAATCAGCTGTTTGTTCATGTTCTGTTTTCTTTTCTAACATGACTTTGTGTCCTCAGATATCATCGAGCCTGATCCTGTGCCTGTGGAACATGTGATGGACACTGCAGCGCCGCCAGGTGTGTGTGTGTGTGTGTGTGTGTGTGTGTGTGTGTGTGTGTG